AAAAAAAAAAAAAAAAAAAAAAAAAAAAACATTTTGTTGGATGTTGTTTTTCTTTACTGGACCGAGAGGTACTTGAGTCGTGCAAGTACTCAACGTGAATTCTCATTCAGTAGAGGAAATAAAACTCTGAGGGTCCTTTACGCGGGAAGATTGTACTCGGTAGAGTACTAGTACCATGCCTCTTGGGAGCCATCTATGGAGTTATCGAGTCCATGTTCAATTTCATCCGACGATCAAAGTTCATTCAAACCCTGGAAAGGAGGTACTATAATGCCCTTACGTCGAAAATTCAACGGTGACACGACGTCGCACGGCATCAACTTCTCTACGTTGAGCTGTGTTTCGTTTCGACATTGTGGCAACATCATGGCAACATGTTACTTTGAAAGGACAACCTTTTCTCAGCATTGAGGCAACATTGCCATCAACCTTTTTCCAACATTGACGCAACGTTGTTGTGCCGAATGGGTAGAAGCACTTCTGAAATCATTTCGACTGCGAAAATCGAAGCGGTAAACCTCCGCGAGGCGCGCTCGATCCGTTTTGGGTATTTGGGAGCCCGAATTCAATGGAAGCCCAATAGAAACCCGAACTTGTTTTTTTATTTTTTTATTTATTTATTTATTTATTTTTTTAATTTATTTTATTTTTTTTTAACTCGAGGGAATGGGATGGAGGAAATATGAGATGCAAATGCGTCTTCTGGAGGGGATCTGACTCCCAGCGTTGATTTTCCTGTTTCGCTCGAGAAGAAATCCGTCCAACCGCCGACGCCTGGTCGGTCGAGAGAAGAACATGCGAAGAGATCGGCGCAATTGGCACAATCGACGCGATTGGCATTTCCCTTTAAAAAAATAAAAATAAAAATAAAAAACAAAAAAAAAGGAGGGGAGGGGGTGTTCGGTAAAAATGGGGTCGGACTTACGCGATGCAATCTGCGGGGATCCGGCGGATCTGCAAGGACAGATTAAAGGGACTCCGAGGCAGATTAAAGGTTCAAGGTTGAAGGTCCGGGACGTCGAGAGGCATTTCTGCCCATTAAGACGTCCCGTGTCGAGGTCGAGCGCTCATGTATCACAAGATAGCTGTCTTCGAAAGGTATTTTGTTGGGGCATGTCCACCAACTGTTCAGTCACCTGCATCTGCATGCTTCCTTTTTTTTAAATTTTATTTGCTTTGTTCATGGCATCTAACCCCCTCTTGAAGGCATCTAACCCCCTCTTAAAGGCATCCAACCCCCTCTTGAAGGCATCTAACCACCTCTTGAAGGCATCTAACCCCTCTTGAAGGCATCTAACCTCCTCTTGAAGGCATCTAACCTCCTCTTGAAAGTCAGTCACGGAAGGGGTAGCCACGACTTCGTCGCTTAACGCATTCCTTGCGTTCGCCACCCGACAAGTCGTGTCGCAACCCGAGCCTCACCCGCGGTTTACGCAACCGGAGTGGGTTCCCTCTCGTTCCGTTGCTGCCATCGAACTGGAGAAACCTACCGCGCTCGACGTTATCGATTCCCTTAATTATTTGAACATTTCCTCTCGCTAACCTTCGGTCGAGTTCCAGCTTCGACTCTCGTAAACGCCTCTCATACGGAAGTCCTTTTTTTTTTACTTCCTCGATCGTTATCGTGACCCGTCTCTGGAGCCTCTCGAGCGCCGTTAGTAGTACATTTGCAAGCCTCAAAAATTGCACGCAATGCTCTGAATGGCGTCTCACGAGCGTCGCATGCAACGAAGGAACGACGCACGAGCTCTTATTGGCTTCGCAGCGTCGGCTTGTGATATTCAGTAGTAGCGGATCGTGAATGGTGGATGGGTAGACCCAGACCTACCTCAATCACTTGTTCGATTACTTGCCTCCATCACTTACCTCCGGACTTACCTCCTGCACTACTGCTGAATATCACGAGTCCCCCTGATGGAACGTCGGATGGAGCCGAGAATCCTGTTACATTTAGCTTGTCCGTCGTTTGAGCGTGCCTGCAGAAATTTTATTCTACTCGTCTATAAGGCTTCGAATCGTGCTCGGCTCTCGCCCTGTTCCTCCCTCTGATGGGCAAACCTACGAGGTGCAGTCCAAAATTAGACTCCGTTTTATTTTACCAAATTTATTGTTTGCTGCAGGGCGTCCAAACCGTGTCCACTTTTCAGCATGATCACCAGCTTTCTCCAGGCACAGATGCCACCGCTTTACCCAGTTTTGGTAATATTTGTTGAGCGAGTCTTCAGGGACGTGTTTTGACCACTGGTAAATTGCTGTTCTTGATGAGTGTTGAGTTCCTCGCAGATAATATTTGAGAGTTCCGAATAGCCAGAAGTCCGAGGGTGCCAAACACGGAGAGTACCGGGGATGCCGAATGATTTCGATGCCGTTTTCCCTCAAAATCACCATCACAATGCTGGCTCTGTGTGGGGTTGCCCTGGTGAAGCAGGAATTTGCATGGTGCCAGGTTACGTATTAAAAACAGTATCAAAAATAGGTCTCACACAACTGACTGTCACGCCCCTAGAACAAGTTGCAAACTTCTGAAACTTGCGCTGCAATCAGCTCATAGATCAACTGAAAGATGACGGCACCAGCAGTACTATAACGTTTACCGTATTCTCGCTAGATGGCAACGGAGGCTAGTTTTGGATTGCACCTCGTATTTTGGTGTCATCGGCAAATGTTCTGATTTTACTCGCTAGACCTTGATCTAAATTGGACGTGTTGACCACAAACAGAAGCGGTTCCAGGACCAAGCCATAAAAAGGGAGACCGCTTGCGACCCTGACTTCCGTCGACACTGCTCCATTCTCCAGACAAGCGTGACCTTCCCCACCCGATTTGGGGAGGACGCCCAGGGTTTACGCAAGTGGGCGAATGAGAGATGCGAGTGGTGAATAGGGGGAAGAGGTGTTGCACGTCTCCTTCCCCAAACGGAGCATCCTCGACGGTCATGGTCCCTCCGTCCTCCCATCGCTCACCTCCACCCCTTCCCTTTCCTCCTTTCCCCGTTCTTTGACCTCTCCGTCGAGAACCACTGCGTTAACCACTTTGAGAGGGGAGACGATAACGATGCCCAGGTGTAAGGGCATCCGATCGAAAGACCATCTCATCCGTGGTGGCGTGTGAAACCCGTCCCATCGATTCAGGGGGAAAAAAACCCGTAGGGTCACATAGTGTACTCCTCCTTCGATTCGCACTTTTTATTACATACATGCACACATGGTCTGCTCACTAAAAAAAAAGGGGGGGACGACATTCTCATTTTGCACTAGACAACACAGACAGTGAATGGGCGGAGGGAAGTGCTTCATCTCCCCTCCGACATGGATAAATTCCTCATTATGAGTTCGTGAGATGAATTCAGAGAGCTCCGGTGAGAGAGGAAAAACTCCAAGAGAGACAGCGAGGCAGACATCATGGAACAAAATAACGAAGAGAAGAGATCCTTATGGAGAGTGAAGCAAAAAAAAAATCGGCTGTTCGGGAGCATTCATCGTCAACCATGTTCCTATCGGTGGAGATTGCGATCCCTTCTACATATCGAGATATGGGGAGCGAGAGAGAGAGAGAGAGGGAGAGAGAGAGAGAGATTAGGAAAAACAAAAAAAAAAAACAAAAAAAAAAAAGAGAGAACTCATCAAGAACAGCAATTTACCAGTGGTCAAAACACGTCCCTGAAGACTCGCTCAACAAATATTACCAAAACTGGGTAAAGCGGTGGCATCTGTGCCTGGAGAAAGCTGGTGATCATGCTGAAAAAACGCAGCCATACTCTGACAAAAGAGTCTCCAAAAAGGGACAGAGGAATCAGACACAAGGCCACTGGAGAGAGAGAGAGACTTTCCTCATACAAATGGTGAGCAAAGATTCAGCAAAAATGTGAGACAATCTTGGAAGAAGAGTTGTTTGCATGCATTTGTTTGCATCCAAATCACGAGATACACATATATATCCATATCTAAAAAATTCCCACAACGATATGAAGACATTGATGATTATAAAAAAAGGTCCGTAATAAAAAAAAAGAACTTGTGGGAACGCAGCCATGGAAAGAGGAAGATGAAAAGAGAGAAGTAACCAATCCTCATAAGAAAATCCTTTTGAACTCGTTCATGGAGAAGACGGGGAAGATGGAAGGGAATTTTGGCATCTCTTTAACACGTTCAGGAAACGTGGAGCAAGAGAAAGTGAAGGAAAGAGAAAAAGAAGGAATGTTGTCTTCACTTTGAGCAGCTGATCGAGGAGGCTTTACAAAGGATGAGGATCTTTTTGTGCTCAGGATGGGAGACTGGAAGTGAACTGAGCAAACTAGAGGTTTGTGCTCAGCAGAACACAGGTAACTGGACAGAGTGTCAGTCGAAGAGAGAGGCACAGAGAGAGGGAATGTGGAAACTCTGACACTGGTATGGAAAGTGAGGGGGAAATGAGACGGGAGGAGAATAAAATTCCTTTGGTATGACACTGGTAACTCCACATAATGTAACGCTCTTGTTTCAACTAGACCTTTTTGCAGGAAAAAAAAAAAAAGGAAACCGAGTTGAGGACACACGGAGAGAGGAAAAACATGAAATAGTGCTTGTGTTCTCCTTCTACATAAGCTACTTTACACTTTTCTGGTAATAAGTCACCTCCGGCAGCCGACTGGGTTGCATAACTTGTCTTCGTGGTTTCTCCATCTGGCTATCTACATCATGTGGACTAGCTTCACGATATATAAGGGTGGCGGGAAGTGGATGCAGGAAACGGTTACGCGACAGAACTTGCCCCTAAGCGTATGCTGGGAAACACTGGGAAGAAGAAGAAAATCCAGAGGGAGTTGTCCTTGTGGATGCTGACGGCCAGAGATGAAAACAGAGATGGAGACAGAGGGAAGGAGACAGATAGAGGCAAGGAAAATGAGCGAGATCTTGGGGGATGATCCACGATATAAGGTAATTAGAAGGCAATGTGGTCATATATATAGATATATACAAACAAGCGTAACTCGAATGTTTTCCTGGGCGTGTGAACACAGTCAGGAGAGGTGGTGGTGGCTTCACGCTTCCCTTCTCGTCCGGGCTCTCTACGCTACCTCTGGATGGTGGAGTTCAAGAGGAAGGGCACGTAGAACATTTTGCTCTCGAGAAGCAGCGCTGCCGCTGCCTGGATCTGCAGGGGAGACCGAAAAGAGAACCATTTCCTTCAATGGAAGAGTTGTGCATATCGCGCAGAGGGGGTGCGGAAGTCGAAAGGATGAGGAACCTCGGGTAAGCGGACGAGGAGTTCAGTGAATCTTGACGGTTGATGAGGGAAAAAGTGGTCCACGTAGCTCTTGAGGCAGAGGATGTAGCGCTCCCGTATCACTTCCAAGATGGCACTCCCTTCCTCTAAAGGCATCTTCCCTGCAATCCACACCAAGACGTGACCAAATGTCACCACTTCGACGGAGAGACCGTCTCCTCTTCATTTCCAAAGGCAGATAGGTTACCTTGCGTGAGCATGGCGATGACTTTGAGGCACACGTACTCCTCCTTGCGTACCCGAAGGCGACGGAGCATGAGGGTCACGTGCGTCAACTTCTCCACCATGCTCCCGACCTCTTCTCGGAGCTGATCCATCGTGATCGGTCGGCCCATCATGGACGTCAAGCACGTCTGTAACGTGCACAAATTGTTGGACACCTGCAAGAGGGGTCAAGCGAGAGAATGAGTGCCGGGATGAAACCGACGGGGATTCGTCAAGATGCGCCAGGAACATTCGTCCATACCTCTTGAGGGAAGTGGGCTTGGGTTCCATCAGAGGAAGTGGATGCCAACTTGTTGGCTCCGTGCAATGCCTGATAGGCAGATGTTGTGAGCACCAGCAACTCGTGCCATTTCTGGGTCAGGAGTCGGGTATGCACCTGTCAAAAGCCAACACATTGAATCGTATCCCTTCTGGGCTCGATAACGAAGCCGCCTGACGGGTGAGAGGACTCACTTCAACCGGTAATTCACTGTAAAAGGGCAATCTCTTGGTCCACTGAACCAACTTATACACAATGGAATCTCCGATCTGGCATAACTTGGCCGACAGCTCTGCCTTGCTATCCAAAAGCTCCTCCAAATTCTGCACAAAGAGGAATGCAATGACGTGCACACACCTGACTCACATGTTTCGAGTCAATTCACGAGACCTGACCCTTCTTACCTTGAGAGTGGCAATATCTTCAAAATCATCACAACCGAGGAGCTGCTGAATCATGCTGGCTGCTGTCTCAAAAGGCAATGATCTGTCCCTGGAACTTGTCACTGAACCCACGGTTTCCATGCGGTGCCTCAAGTGAATAATCTGGTTGATCAGAAGAAACTTAGAAACTTAGTAACCCTGTTTCTTTTGGAACAAAAAAAGTTGAAAAATAAATAAATTTTACTTCCAAGACCTACCTCACTGGGACTGGTGAGAGCTGCCTTGAGGATCTGGCCGTTGGTCAAGGGTGAAGAGTTTGAGCCCTCATTTTGCATCATTATCACCTTGGGCTTCTCTCCGTTCCCCTTGACGAGCCCGTTTTTGGGGAGTTTCTTGTGTTTCTTGTACTTAACCTGCATACGAAAGAGAAGGGAAACCCTATTCATAGCACCTTTCACTGACTCAGACCCAATACATCTGGCATGACAGGATGATAAAGGTTTTTCACCTTGTATAGGTTATAAACAGCTCCAGAATTCCTACCCCCAGGCATTCGGTCTTCTCTCACCGCTGCACAAAAAAAGATTGCGTACAGTGTGTGAAATCTTCAACGCGAAACCTCGATACATTCGATTAGCTTAGATGACCCTAGGGCGAGGACGGTGAGCAAGAACAAACCTGCAAGGACCATCCCTTGTCGAAGACACTTTTGGAAGCGACAATACTGACAACGATTCCTTTGTGCCTTGGTGATCTCACAGTTCCCATCGGCTATGCACGTGTACACCCTCTTGTTCTGCACCGTCCGCTTGAAAAACCCCTTACACCTGTAACGAACGAACAAGGGGATGATTGATGACGGCGATGGGGGAGGTTGCGGAGCTCCTGGCTCCGTTGATACGCAGCCTGTGAGGCGGGCCGACCCGCATTTCGGGCAGGCGTGCACTGACAACGAAACCAGCAGGTATACCGTGCCTTCGGCCCTGACTCATCTGCTTTTTTTTTTCTTTTTTTTAAATCCCTTTCAGCTTTTTTGTTTCAAGGTCTTTGCGCTTCTGCGCAGGATAGGGTGGGGTAATGAGAAGGAATATCTAGATCGGGGCAATTCCGTCTGTCTTGAACCCCTCTGGGAGAGAGAAGAAATGTGGGGGAAGGGGGAGAGGGGAGCAATGTGAAATAGGCATCCAGGTGAACCTACCCTTCGCATGTGATGATGCCGTAATGCAGGCCAGTGGCTTTGTCTTCGCAGATCATGCAGACCATGGGTTGTTCGTCTTCTTCTTCCTCGTCTCCCCCCGGCCCACCAGTTCCACCTTTCAAGCTAGGAGTTTGTTGAAACGTGGGAGGTCCGGGACTCATGATGGGCGCTCCCGTCCCATTGTTCCCTGTCCCACTACACCACTGTTGCATGGAGAGATTCAACACTTGACTATCCGGTCCAGGCTGAGCCGGAGATTGGGACGGTTGAGAGACCTGGCTCTTATCGCCGGCCCACAACCGTTCCATGTTCAAAGGTGAATGGTGAAGGTGGTGGTGGTGATGGTGGACGGGATGCTGGTGGACAGGGTGGTGGGGATGAGTGAAGGATGGACGCGGGCTTGACAACGCTCGGCTCGTGCTCACCGAATACAAGTCCGTCGGAGTCCTCACAGCGATCGGGAGAGTGTGAGGAGGGGTCGAATGTGGCTGCGGGGGAGGTGGCGGAGGCGGTGGAGCATTCCCGTGGTGTCCGTATGGGGAGTGGGGATAATGCGGGGAATGAGGAGAGGGAGACATGGGAATGCTCCCACTGGAAGATGCCGGCGAATGATGAGACTGTGACGGTGAACTTCGCGGGGAACTTCCACTTACGGTCCCGGTCCCTCCACCACTCGTGCCACTACCACTAGTCGAGGCTTTGGAACGGGGCCCGAGTTTCCCGGCCATAGCCACCGAGTGTTCCTGGCCGAGACTCAGAAGACCGCTCACTGCAGCTTGTTCCGTGTCTCCATTGTTCGTGCTGGGTGAGCCAGGCATGGAGGACGTGGCCGCGGCGGCGGCTGCTGCGGCCGCTGCGGCCGAACCGTAGACCACTTGGTGCTTCAGCGCCTCGAGAGGAACTGCAGAGGTGACATTCGGTCCACTCTGTGTGGTCCAGACCATCGTCCGAACTCCCCCGGCTTCACCCATTATCACAGCTGGGGTTTGCAACCGATGACTTGGGGAACTTTTCGGCGACCCAGAATGATACCTCTGGTACGAGCCAGGAGCCGGCATGGACGTGGAAACGACGTTCGTCACTGCATCGCCCCTGACTCCGTTGAGACGATAAGGCAGCAGACTGTGCCAGGGACCAGGTGTCGATTCCACGGCACTCAGAGATCGACGTCGCATCTCTGCGCCTTCCAAAGCGTGTGCGTTCGGCGTGACTGGTGTGGACGGGACGGAGAGGCTCAAAGGTCGGGCCGGAGGACTGCACGAAGAATTTCCTTCATGACTGCCGCTCCCGGGACCGGGTGAAGTTGCAGATTCCGCCTTCACCAGTGGCGGTAGAGGCTTCACCTCGGAAGGAAGACCAACTTCTAAACCGTTCTGCGTCGGGCCCCCCTTCCCTCCGCCATCATCTTCGTGTTCTAGCCCCTTCTCCATCTTGACCTGAACTAAGTCTGGGACGATCTTGGGAGGACTGGACCTACGAAGCAAAAAGGGAATATTATGTGCTATGCATGCTTCGTCACAAATAAAGGGAGCCACGGCAAGAAAATAACAAGTCATGAGGCCGAAGGTAGGTGAGGGATCGACGTTGTCCTTGGATCTGCGAGAGACGGAGAAGGGAGAAACCCCTGTTGCGCAGATACACGCGTTATGTGGAGGAGCGCGGCACTTCGCGGATTCTCATTCATTCAGTGAAAGCGTTGCGTAACCCTGTGGTCTGACAATCATAACTGTCCGTCCGGACACTATACCCGCAAGCAGGATCTATTACGGTGTCGAACATATCATTAGTCATTAGTCACTCTCCCGAAAATCCCTGCATCCTGTTGCGTTCGTTCGAGGTCTCGGCAGAATCCACGAACCCCATGCTTTTAATTTACCCTAAACGAGCCCTTTTAATTAAGAAACACGCATGGGCTCTGAGGTAGCCGTGCCGTGGCCAGTGATTAATGGTGATTCGATGGACGCCTCACCGTGGTGCCTGAGGTGTTGAGGAATCTTCCATGTCCCTGGACATCTTCTCAGGTGTGGGGGTGGTCCGTTGAGGAGACTGAGGGACAGAAGACGGCATGTTATCGCCTTCTCCTTCCGCCTCCGCCTCCCCGTCCGCCCTGTGATATGCCCCCAGCTCGCTCGAACACGCGCCCTGACTCGCTGGCGATGTGGACGACGTATCTGGAACGCTTTCACCTGGGTGGGGGATAGGGACGATGACGTGCGATAGGGTCTTTTTTTTTTGGTCGTTCTCGGTCGAAACGAGCGAGGGCTTACCATCGGAACTACATCTGGAATCAACTTTTCGCCGCTTCAACTTCAAGTCTTGGAAGAGGCTCATATTGGACTCATCTTCCAGCGCACCCAGGACAGTCACCGTCATAATTCCTGCGAGACGAAAGGGAAACGGCTCGTTAGTCGAGGGCCTATTACGGAAATAGGAACACCGATGATTCGAGATCCACATGCACGCGACGTGAGTCAGAGAAATGGACTAATCCGTGGTTTCGGTATCTAGGTTGCGATGGAATTCAATTCCTCCCCAGAATAAACATGAGAAAATGCATTATGCTAACCACAAAGGTTGCGGTTTCCCGTGTCACTCGGACTCGCGACGATCGGAGAAGAAAATGCGTCGCGTGACGCGGGTGGGGGACCCCATGGGAGTCGTCTTCGAAAACACTGACCTAGACATGATTGTTCTGGCTGAACTTCATTTCACCGAGAGACAGAAGAGACTGATCGTGCCCTCGAGGAGAGAAAAGGAAAAAAGACTCGGGGACTTTCTCAGAGTCGATCGGTGAAAGTCACCGGCTACCATTCCTGACGGGATCGGCCGGGTACGGAGTGATGACATCGCGAACCTCCGCGATATCGACGGTAGCCCAGTCGTCGACCGGGAGAGAAAGCAAGAAAGGCGAGGAAAAGAAAAGGGCGATCGAGAACCGTACTGTAGGTCACGCGCTGGTCCATCCCTGATGGCGCAAGATGCGTGGGCACGGTAATGGTAGAAGCTAGCCCGCGCGTGTGAGTGCGTGCAGGGGTGAGCGTGTGTGTAACGGGGAACTGGGCCAAAGTCGGCTGCCTCTGCCAGAAGGGAATGACCGTCCAAGGTCTAGTCCTCCGTTGCATCATCCAACCCTGCCTGTGCCTCCCCGTTCTTGGAAGCGTGGCCCCCTTCTTCTCGGCCGTGGATTTCTCCCTCCCTCGAGCTTGAGGTCGGGCTCTCGAGGTCTCCCAGGGCGGATCTTTTTTGCACGGGGAACGAAAGTTTCGCGATGGGATCGCGCGGCCATGAAACATGGATCCGCCTGTGGATCCAAACCTCGGAACGAGCTTTTTGTTTTCCCGATCGAAAAAGGAGGGAGAAATGAAACGGAGCAGGATGCGGAACGTGCGATACTTTCCATTTCTTACGAGTCGTACACCCGAAGCCACTACTGGAAAGTATCGTCCCCGATGCCATCTGTGCGTCACCACCGTCATCGCCTTGGAAGACTGATGCAATTGGCCGTATGTATGTGGTCATAAATATCAAGGACCTCGAAGAGAACTTCGGCTACGAAGTCTGCGAAAAAGCGACCGGACACGACGCAGAGAGGAAAGAGAGAAAAGAGGCCAAACATGGCAATTCGATGGCAGAAGCGATTGCGCTCGAAGGTGGAAACGGATGCTCCCGACCGACTGATTGATACAAACACCCAAAGAGGAAACAAGTGGAAGTGGAAGGGGGAAAAAAAAAAGAGAGGATGAGGGAGAGAAAGGAGGAGGGCCTTCAGGGAGAGAGAAAAAGGAGAAAGGGGCCGCTCCTATAGGCGGATAGGGTTGGCAGCGAAGGACGCGCAGAATTATGTGCCCGCCAATACTGAATAACGATGGCGGCGGTTTCCTTGAAAGTTCATCGCCCGATCGGCTTGCAAGTAGGTCAGCTCGCTCGCATTTCACTTTCACTGCATGTGAGCCTGCGAAATGCACAGGTGCGTGCGCGTGCACGGCATGTGAGTTACAGGTGAGTGAAAGACGGAGGTCCCGCACTCATCCACGGGCACAATGCGTGGCAAAGACCTTTTTAATCCTTGGCTCGGTTGATTGCATCAGCCTTTAGAAAGGGCAACACGGGACGGCGGAAAACTCGAGAGAAAGATGCGAAGGGAAACCCCTTTCTCTCTTCGTTCCACCTCTCACGCGCCTTTCCCGACGCGATGCGATACCGAGGACCGGACTGGGACGTGGCATAAACATATATAACTTATGGCATGTAGTTATGACCTCGTATGCTTCTCGCAGTCGAGGTACTAGTCCAGGTACTCGCGAGAGAGCAGACGCCGTGCCAGCTGTGCGTCCTAGATGCAAGTCGAACGAGGAAACGAGCGAAAACCCACAGAAGATCGCCTTCGTGCATGATGCGAATTCGATGGCGCGACTTCGTTCCCGCTTTTATTTTCTCCTTACGTTCGCGCAAAAAGTATTGCGGCAACACTCGAGGTTCCCATTCTTCACCGACGGCCAACGCAACGCAGGAAAATTCCTACCGTTCCTTCGTGATGCTCAGTCACTTCCTTCGCGATGGGCTGTGACCGACGCAGAAAACCATAAATCAAACGGTGGAGACGATCTAGAACTAACTCCGAGGAGTTTTGGGCTCTAAATGGCTTCTCCTGCGGCATTCTTGGCTATTTAGGGCATTTTTCCCCTCGCCGAGCTAAGTGCATTTCCCCTGGACGTTTCCGCCGTTCCCTCTCTCGTCGACGGGAACGAGACATCGTTAAGAGTCCTTCCACACTCGAGTCCTTTTTGATGAAGACATCGGGCCGATGTCGAGTGCGGGGGTGGTGACGATGTCGGGGGGAAAGACTAGGTGCACGTGTAGTCGAGAAATGAGGTCATCCATAATACTCCAGATAAGGGAGTGGGAGGGACGAAAGCTGTACTGTGACGAGTACAGGCTGCTGACTGCACTCGGGGCCTGGACTATTTTTTTTTTTTTTTGCGATTGCACTGGGTGATCTTTAGAAAGGATCGTCGTTGGTCGTGGTGTCTCAACGATTCCCGTAACGTGTTTCCTTCTTTAGGGCGGATTGTGCCACGGTAATGTGATTGAAGCACAGATCCCCTCCCACGTCGATATCTGGCTGAGCAAACACGGGAACAAAAATAGGAGACTGGGAGACGACGAGACGGAAATAGGTGGCTATTGACGTTCGTCCGCTTCGTGGATCCGTGGACACGCGGGTTTCCCACTTCCGAAGGAAAAAAAAAAAGGAATTAAAAAGAAAAAAAAAAAGAATGTAAAAAGTTTTACTTCCGAAAAAAACGGGTTGGGTCACACGCGGACGCGTCCAGGAGAACTGTCAAATAGGATTACCGACTTATGTCATAGACTCGGTTTACGCCAGCTGACGCGGTGAAGTCACGTCCGAGGATGGGAATATTGAATGGAGTATTTTCAGTGATGATTCCACGTGCACGTATGCCCTCGGGTCTCATGGCCTAAAGGCAAGGACCTTCACTTTCGCCTCTTCTCCACTTCCGCCTTCTTTATCTATTTCTCTCTCTCTCTCTCACCCTTTCGAATCGACTTTCACTCTAGTGCGTCCTGTTGGGATTCTCACCGATCACGGAGTGAGTTACCTGGAAGAACCAGGAAGGTGCCGCTCCTTTCCTACCCCGTTCGACCCGAGCCGTCTTTCCGCATCCGATCGCGACGTCGATGTCAACATTCATCCGTAAATGAAATGACTCAGCAGACGGATGACGCCGCCCCGTGCACTGAATCCCTTGCGATGCGTCGAGACGGAGAGGCTGCGTACGGCACGAGAGGAGACGTGATGTAATGGGGTCGTTTGGAATCCCCTATGAGAAAGGATGAGTCTCGCCCCCCCATCGCCTGCGCCCCGGGAGAAGATTCGATCATTTTGCCGGGATCGGGGAAATGAACTCTGGGGAGCCTTCACCCCGGGAATAATCCGGCTAATCACTCGGGAGTGCGATTTTTCCTCGAGGTTATCGTCTCTGTTTTCCCGTGCGTCGCGTCGACGGCACGGGGTGGAAAAGGCGCGTGTCTCCTGTCACTCGTGTTCCTTCGTGTCGAGTTTGTCAAAAGAGACCGAAATGTCATGCCCGGGGTTTTTTTTGTTTTCTTTTTTAGGCCCGATAAGGAGAGACATCTGCTGTGCTGCGTGGGAGTCGAGACAGGATGAGGGTGAACTTGGCAGAGAAGGGGGATAGTGAGAGAGAGAGAGAGAGAGAAAAGAGGACAGGAACGAGAATGGGAGAGCGGGAGCCCCCTCGAACGTCGGCGCGAGGGGGGAGGGCTCTCTCTCTCTCTCTCCCTCTCCCCCCTCCCTTCCTCCCTCCCTCCCTCTCCCCCCCTTGGTTGCAACACACGCGACTCGGTCACTCACCTCCGAGTGGAAGCCACGTTGCCACATTCCGGAGGTGAGCCGGAACGGTTTCAGCGGGACGCACCGTTACAAAGACAGCGGTTCCCACTCCCCTCGAGGCCTAACTAAAGCTCACAAAGACGCTCCTCCCTCAGCCACGACCTCCTTATCTCAGATTTGACCCCAGGGTTTCCTGATACTGCTCCCCCGAACTGACGTTAAGGAACCACAGTGCCCCACATTATCGAGGAAAGCGATGTTTTGGTAAATAAAGCGTGGTGCAAGACCGTAGGAAGAGCCAATGAAATGAGGTTACTTCAGATAAATGATAATCGAAGCTCTTCCTGTCTGATGACCCCGGACCGTGCCGTTGACATCGTTCGATTAAGTAATCTTTCCAGGAAATGACCCCGATATGGGAAACGCTTTGAATCAATATGAATGAATCACAGAATCGGCTTCAATGGATGGGAGGAGAACGCAAAAGGCTGCACGAACGAGATCCGAATACGGAAGTCCAGTCATGCATACACAAGTAAAAGTGCTCGGGAAGGAAACTTCGTGCGCAAGTATGGCACACCGAAAGCACGCTTATCGCGAAGTGGGGGGAGGGGAGGGGGATTTTTCCTGGGTTAACAAACGAGAGCATGAGTTGCCGAAACCTCCAAGAGGTGAATGACATGGCAAAGCGCATTCGCGGCTGTCGAATGCATGTGTGAGTGTTGGGGGGGGGGGGGGGGGGGGGGGCG